GGACTTCTGTTTGCACTAACTTTCAAATTTTTTGAGAGAATTGTAATTCTTCCTTATAAGAAAGATATAAGGTCATATGCGAAATTCGTAAAAGCGCCGTTGCGGAGAAGAATAATGAAAGTTAATCATCAAAGGTTCATTTTAAAATGTGGAATGCCTTAGTTACCATCAGACAAAGTAGGTGATAATGAATTTAGCGACTTGAATCATTGCCTGCAATTTGCATACCCAAAAATGATTTATAGCTAGGGGGTTTGCATCGAAAATTCGTGATGAGTCACGCAATCAAAAAGATATTTAAATCTGATCTTCAGACTTCATTATTTGCTATGAAATTTTGTCTTTCGTTTATCTACCTTATAATATATCTAATGCACTTTGCTGGAGAAAAACAGCGCGAATTCTCGAGAATTTAAGTTCTGCAAACGCGTTTTTAAAAATAATAGATCTGCTTTGAAATTGGAATTTCATTCTAGGAAAAATACGCTCAATGAAACGTTTGCCGGAAACTCTAATCAAATGGATCTGGAGACAAGAACAGCCTATCGTAATAGTTTCTTAATTGGAAGAATTGAAACATTTCCCATCTTTCAAATCTTTAAAAGTGATACTGAAACAATACGAAAAACTGGAAGTTAGCAGCGTTCAAAAAAACATCATTGCGCGAGGGTCATTAAAAATAATAGTGCTTGTCAAAAGTGCTCTTAAACGGCAATAAATTCCTTTGAAAACGTGGAAAATGGGCAGTTGAAGAGGGCATTGAAGGAGAAAATGCAGTAGTTTGCCTATTGGGTAAACCTTGTCATCGTTATAGAAAGGGAACTAATATCATATCTACAAAAGTTCAAGCCAACGGCTAAAAATCAACTTCTGCCATTCTAACCCTATTAAGAAAATAAAATAAAACTACTAAAATAATGTAACAGAGTAACAAATTTTACCATTTTAAATTTTAATTTAATTTTTTACCAAATTTTCAAGCTACATGTTTCCTATTTCAGGCTGGGATTCGTATCGTGGTATCGGTAGGCACATTGGTGATTCTGGCTCTCGTAGCTGCTCTATATCTCAAATTCCGGAAGGCACTCTTTGTTCTGCTTATCCCAACTGCCGTCACGGTGCTGACGGTAGTAGCGATAATCACTAGAAGACATCGCTTCGTATGGCCGATTATCGCCACTTCGGTAAGTGTTTTTCTCTTCTTGGAGGGTTTTCCTGCTTCCATCA